TATTGGTGTCAGATTCCCACTGGAGATCTCAAGTCCCTTTTCAGCCTTGCGACTGGTGTGATCTTCAGCACACACGCACACACACACACACACACGCACACACACACGCACACACGCGCACACACACACACACGCACGCGCACACGCACACACGCACACACACGCACGCGCACACATGCACACACACGCACACACGCACACACACGCACACGCACACGCGCGCGCACACACGCGCACACACACGCACACAAACTTTTTTCTTTTCAGCCTTGCGACTGGTGTGATCTTCAGCACACACGCACACACACGCACACACGCGCACACACACGCACACGCGCGCACACACACGCACACGCACGCGCACACACGCGCACACACACGCACACACACACACACACAAACTTTTTTCTTCTTTTCAGGCACTCAGTAGCATGAGGCAGACAGCATGGTTTTATACTATTCCCTCATGTGTCACACAGGCAGTCTACAACTGACTTCAGGAGCAATGACCCACAGTGAAGAGCCGTTCCAAGCAACCCACAGAAGCAGATCTAGGGAATGCAAGTTAGATCTGCCTTTGTGATCATAAACCCCGGGACGACATGTCCCTGCACAGCCCTGTCTCTTCAGTGATGCTGACTTCGCCCATTGGTGTGCATCTGGGATTCAGGAATGGGAGTTTCACAGGAAGGATGCCCTGCATGGCCATGGGCAAACCATTGGTGTCCACTAGTTTCCTGTTTTGTGATATTGTTCCTCAATATCTAAGTAATTGTAATGTCAGTTAGTATTTATGGAACTGTTTGTCATTTGTTTCTTTATTGAGACAGGATCTTGCTCTGTAGGTAAGCTGGCCTCAGACTTTATGTAGTCCAGGCTAGCTTCTAAACAAGACCTTTTTTTTTCTCAGTCTCCTAAATTTGGGATGATGTGTAAAACTATACCCATCTCCTGCTAAACCTTGGGAGTAGCAGTAGGATCCATATAAACTCCATTAGACAGACAAGAGAACTAAGACTTAATATATATAAAATTTGACTCATGTTTCTCTGGCCATTGGGTGGGGACACTAATCTTCATAGCCTTGGGCCAAGAATGAGGCATCCTTTCCTTCCAACTTTTGTGTACCTATTAGAGAAGAAAATATGGAGTAGGTCATGCATCTCTTGCAGTGATTCAAGAGTTCTATTCTCTAAAATCTTCCTTAGTAACTGAATGTTGGTTAAATTCATATAATTATTTGTGCCAGGACTTATATTTTTTTAACCAAATCCTGCTGGGTGGGCACTGTTTTTCTCATTTTTCATTAATAAAAGTAGCTGAAGCACTGGTATGTTAAATAAACTGTCCAACTTTGCACAGCTAATGATAGAGTTCCAATTTAAACCCAGGTCATGTGTCAAAAAGCATTTTCTGTAACTTGAACAGCCTTTTGTTGGAGAGAGCTTTGCCACAGTGTACTTCTGCCTGGTGACTGGTCAGCGTAGAACAGTTGGAATTCACACATTGTTCTTGTCCTTCTCTCTCTCTCTCTCTCTCTCTCTCCTTTTCTCATACAATACATCTCGACCACAGCCTCCTAATCTTGTTTCCCTTAAGAAAAGAGCAGACCTTCCAAGGATATCAACTAAACATGGCATGACAAGGTGCAATAAAACTAGGCACAAACCCTCTTATCAAGGCTGGAAGAGTCAACCCAGTGGTAGGACTAGAGTCCCAGGATCAGGAAAAAGACACCCCCACTCCTACCCTCAGGAATCAATAAGAACTCCAAGCTATACAACCACATCACATATGCAAAGGACACAGCACAGACCCTTTTAGGCTCCATGATTGTTGTGTCTCAGTGAGCCCCTATGAAGCCTACTTAGGTTTTATGGCTGGGTTGGTGCCCTAGTCTTGCCTTGTTACACAAAATGACGCGTCTGTGCTTTAAATCCTCCACTACCAGGATTCCTCATCAGTGTAATGTTTGTGTTGTCCTGTGAGTTTCTACTGCCCTAGATTTCCACATTGCCCCCATTCCAGATGAAGCCAGTTCCAATCAAATCTTTCCATACTCTCTCCCTGCCACTTCATTTCCCCCACCAGGTCCCTCCTATTCCCATACTCACCCAGTCCACCTACAAAATCTCTTCTATTTCCCAGGGAAATCTCATTGCTACCTAGTCTCTCTGGGTCAGTGAACTGTAGTCTGGTTATCCTTTACTTTACAACTAATATCCTTTTATGAGTGAGCACATATCATGTTCATCCTTCTGGGTCTGCGTCACCTCACTCAGGAGGATTCTTTTCTGGTTCCATCCATTAGCCTGAAAATTCCATGATGTCATGTTTTTAGCAGCTGAGTAGTACTCCATTGGGTAAATGTACCACATTTTCTTTGTCCATTCTTCAGTTGAGGGACATCTAGGAGAATGCGCCATTTCAAAATGAGTAAGTCAGGAAAACAGAGAAGAAAAGTATAATATTCCTTCAGGTAGCTTTTATCTGTTCAAAAACTGCCTAAAGAGAACAGTTTTATGCTCAGAAAGCAGCATCACCAGGTTATCAACTCATGTCTGAGTCCTCACAGTGTCCATGTCACTGCTGTCCCTGCCCCAATGTCTTCCATCTTTATTCATTCCTTTAAAGGTAGATCTGCATGTTCTATGTGAGTCCCACACTGAGATCCACGCTCATAGTAAGAAGGGCTGTCTGGGAGCCATGCCAGAACTACCTCTGAAAGATAGATGAGCATCTCCAGATTGATGGCTCAGTGATTTCTTTGGGGATTGTATAAGAAATATTGATTATGTTGCTAAGTTGTAGAAAATGGGCTCTGGGGTTCAGAAGTAGGTGCTTTTTAAAATAGCCCAGAGGCAGTGGAATAAGTCAATGTGCAGGGCATCTAAGACTTCGTAACTATCACAGCTTCACAAACAGCTTTGGCTTCCATGTGGAAAAACCAATCCCTTGCTGAAATAACAGAAACTGTTATCTTGGCATGCTAAAACCAGAAGCTAGGGCTCTCATCTAGTGTTTGTCACAATTGTACAAAATCCCTAACTTCTCGTACACGCGTATTCCTGAACCTCTGAGGAAGTCTGCCAGGCAGCATTTGTGCCAGGTGAGGTTTTGTTTTCCTTCTTCAGAACCACAGATGTAAGTGCTGTCTGAGATAGCTTGGGTTTGACCGCTTAAGCTCATAAAAGTACTCTTGCTTAGTGGGGTTTTTGTTGTTGTTGTTGTTGTTGTTTTGTTCAATACAAAGTTCCACACGTAGTAATAGACTCTATTTAAACCCGTCTCTGAAGTATTTCCAATTGTATTGAAGACCACTCATTCTAGTTAATAAGAGAGAACAAGCAGCAGAGATCTTGCTGAGAGAACAGCTCCGTTTTTGAAAGCATCAGTTTTGATGAGTTAAGTTGAACAGTCTGGTTCCTGTGACAGCGCTCTTTGCTTTGAAGGATTCATGAAAGACGTTGTAAGAGGGCCCACCCCTCGATGACACAGAGGACAGCTCCAAGGAGACAGTATCCCAGAGGAGTGACCAGGGCTTGGACAGGATGGCCCTCCCACTTGTTGATGAGTGCTGGTTCCGAAATGGTTGGTCAGTGGATGTGATTTGAATGGACATACAGTGCAGTATTTGCTCTTGGGAGATCTGAGGAATGCATGTAGGGGAATTTTTCCCTTCCTTGGGCCCTTAGTTTCCCTTTTTGGAAACTGCATTTTTAAGCTGCTTTTTTAACCCGTGTAATTTCTGGACTCCCTCTGCCTCTCTCTTAAGTAAGGTGTGCTTCCTTGGGAAGGGGGGTCACCGAAGTAAGCATATTAAACCCTCTAGTTACACTGGAACTACAGGGTTATGCTCGCTGAGCTAGCATGATTGCTTCACGCACAGCGGCTGCTGCACTGGGTGCCAGAGACAGGGCTGGGCCAAACGTGATTCCTCTCAGTTTTTAATGCAGTAGGGGTGTGGGGAGGGACGTAAGGACAGGATTTGAGCACTGGGGAGTGAGTCCACTCTCACAGTTGGAGACGCCATGCTCTCCCGGCAAAGGGTGGACCAAACTGCTCCTGTGAGCAGGTTCCAGAGTTAACAGGATGAATGAGAAATAAGGCAGAAACTGGGTGTGTGCTCCGGGGAGTCCAGGGCTTCCCTTTGAGAGAATAGACTGTGGCCTTTGCACCTGCTTCTGAGAGCCTGCCTTGCTGCTCATCGTCACGGTGAGGCTGAGACCAGCGCCTCCGCCGGTTCTAGGCATCTTCAGAGGATGACAAGACAGACAGGTCCATCAACGCACACAGAATATCATTAAGGCTTCGGCTGGCTTCAGTGCGCGCTCGCTAGTGAGGGGACTACCACACTCGGATTTTAGGAGTGTGTACAACACAAAATACAAATCAAGTTCCCTCTTTGAAATGCCCAGGGGCAAAACAGAGTCCTTCAGGAAACCTACTGACTAACATCACCAGCTGCACTTCATGATTATATATCTGAAAGAGTCTATCTCTAACTTTCATTCTTGTAGCTACATTGTATTTTAAGAATGTACTCTGTATTATTTAATTTTCTATTGATAGTCTTTTAGTATCTTTTGAGTTTTGCTTTTTAGATTTTGAACTGTGTGGTAATGAAGACATCTAAATAGCTTCCTAGTATAATTATGTAAAAGGCTACTATAGGTCAAAGTTAAATGCAATGGAGGTCTCCAATTATCCATTTCTAAGTTGACCTCCAACATATAATAAATCTGCTGCCCCAAACTAATCCCAAAAGAAGTGGAAAGAGTCATTTAAGGAAGTTCAATCAAGAGAAGGTTAAATCCTGGTGACTTTGAATTCTTTATTATCTAATAGCAGTGAAGGTTCTGAGTTTTGTACTGATGCTTAAATGAAAAGATTTTACCATAAAGCCTTCTAAAAGTGTCTTTTCCCAACAGTTATCTTGTGTTTGCATCTCTTAATGTCTTCTCAATTAATCTATAACTTCTTTCTGTGTTTCCTTCCAGGATGGACGTGTGATGTGATGGGGGTGACTATGGGACACTGTGTGGGCACAAGGCTTCCTTCCTGCGTCCTCCTGCTGCTCCTGAAGCTGTTGGCCACTGTCTCCCAGGGGCTGCCAGGCACGGGGCCCCTGGGCTTCCACTTCACACATTCCATCTATAATGCTACCGTGTATGAAAACTCAGCAGCAAGGACCTACGTCAATAGCCAGACTAGAATGGGCATCACCTTAATAGACCTGTCCTGGGATATCAAGTACAGAATAGTGTCTGGCGACGAGGAAGGCTTTTTCAAAGCTGAGGAGGTCATCATTGCAGATTTCTGCTTTCTCAGGATAAGAACTAAGGGTGGCAACTCTGCCATATTGAACAGGGAAATCCAAGACAATTATTTATTAATCATAAAAGGTTCAGTCAGAGGAGAAGATTTGGAAGCATGGACCAAAGTGAGCATCCAGGTTTTAGACATGAATGACCTGAGGCCTCTGTTTTCACCTACCACCTACTCGGTCACCATTGCAGAAAGCACACCACTTAGGACTAGCGTTGCCCAGGTGACAGCTACGGATGCAGACATCGGTTCCAATGGAGAATTCTACTACTACTTTAAAAACAAGGTTGAGCTTTTTTCAGTGCACCCCACAAGTGGTGTCATCTCTTTAAGTGGACGGTTAAATTATGATGAGAAAAACAGATATGATCTAGAAATCTTAGCAGTGGACCGGGGAATGAAACTCTATGGCAATAACGGAGTGAGCAGTACTGCTAAGCTTTATGTTCACGTTGAACGCATAAACGAACATGCTCCAATTATCCATGTTGTCACTCACATCCCTTTCTCATTGGACAAAGAGCCAACGTATGCAGTAGTGACCGTTGATGACCTGGACGAGGGAGCCAATGGAGAGATCGAATCTGTTTCCATCGTGGCTGGAGATCCTTTGGATCAGTTCTTCTTGGCTAAAGAAGGAAAGTGGATGAATGAGTATAAAGTCAAGGAGAGAAGGCAGGTGGACTGGAAAAGTTTCTCCTATGGCTACAACCTCACTTTTCAAGCAAAAGACAAGGGGTCACCTCAGAAGTTTTCAGAACTAAAGACAGTCCACATTGCCAACCCCAAGAGAGACAGCATCCCAGTCAGGTTTGAAAAAGATGTGTATGAGGTCAGCATAAGTGAGTTTTCCCCTCCTGGTGTCTTGGTGGCCATAGTCAAGGTAAGCCCTGAGCCACTGGACGTGGAGTACAAACTATCCCCTGGTAAGGATGCAGAGTTCTTCAAGATTAACCCTCGGTCAGGTCTGATCGTCACAGCACAGCCCCTGAATAGAGTGAAGAAGGAAGTTTATAAGCTGGAGGTGACAGACAAGGAAGGAGATGTGAAGGCCCAAGTCACCGTCGGGATCGAGGATGCCAATGACCACACCCCAGAATTCCAGCAGACACTGTATGAGACTTTGGTGAATGAGAGTATTCCTGCTGGAACAAATGTGTTGACGGTGTCTGCCTCTGATAAGGATAAAGGAGAAAATGGCTACATCACTTACAGCATTGCCAGCCTGAACCTTTTACCGTTTGCCATTAACCAGTTCACAGGTGTGATCAGCACAACGGAAGAGTTAGATTTCGAATCCTCCCCGGAGACGTACCGGTTCATTGTGAGAGCATCCGACTGGGGCTCACCGTACCGCCATGAAAGTGAGGTGAATGTGACCATTCGGGTAGGAAATGTCAATGACAACAGCCCTCTCTTTGAGAAAGTGGCTTGCCAGGGAGTTATTTCATATGACTTTCCTGTTGGGGGTCATATCACAGCTGTCTCTGCGATTGATATTGATGAACTTGAACTTGTAAAGTACAAAATCATTTCTGGAAATGAACTTGGGTTCTTTTATTTAAACCCAGACTCTGGCGTTTTACAGCTTAAAAAGCCTCTGATGAATTCTGGCATTAAAAATGGTAATTTTGCCCTCAGAATCACAGCTACAGATGGGGAAAATTTCGCAGACCCCATGACCATTAACATCTCAGTACTCCACGGGAAAGTGTCTTCAAAGAGCTTCAGCTGCCGAGAAACTCGTGTGGCTCAGAAATTGGCAGAGAAACTACTCATTAAAGCAAAAGCTAATGGGAAACTGAATCTAGAAGATGGATTTCTTGACTTTTATTCAATTAATAGGCAAGGACCACACTTTGACAAGTCTTTCCCCTCTGATGTGGCTGTGAAGGAGGACATGCCAGTTGGAACTAACATCCTGAAGATTAAAGCATATGATGCTGACTCTGGCTTCAATGGGAAGGTCCTGTTTACAATATCGGATGGAAATACAGACAGTTGCTTCAATATTGATATGGAGACTGGACAACTTAAAGTCCTCATGCCCATGGACCGAGAGCACAGAGACCTCTATCTCCTCAACATAACCATCTATGACCTTGGAAAGCCACAGAAATCATCATGGCGATTGCTGACTGTCAATGTGGAGGATGCTAATGACAACAGCCCGGTGTTTCTGCAGGACAGCTACTCAGTCAGCATTCTTGAAAGTTCGAGTATTGGCACCGAGATTATTCAAGTGGAAGCAAGAGACAAGGACCTGGGTTCTAATGGTGAGGTAATGTACTCCGTTTTGACAGACACACAGCAATTTACCATCAATAGCTCAACTGGAATTGTCTATGTAGCTGATCAGTTGGACAGGGAATCCAAAGCCAACTATTCTTTGAAAATAGAAGCCAGGGACAAAGCAGAAAGTGGCCAGCAACTGTTTTCTGTTGTCACCTTGAAGATCTTTCTGGATGATGTCAATGACTGCTCCCCAGCTTTCATCCCCACTAGCTACAGTGTGAAGGTTCTTGAAGATCTCCCTGTTGGTACAGTCATTGCTTGGCTTGAGACTCAGGATCCTGACCTTGGATTAGGGGGTCAAGTGCGATACTCTTTGGTCAATGATTACAACGGGAGGTTTGAAATAGACAAAGCAAGTGGCGCTATCCGCTTGAGCAAAGAGCTGGACTATGAGAAGCAGCAATTCTACAATCTCACAGTCAGGGCCAAGGACAAGGGGCGGCCTGTGTCTTTGTCATCGGTGTCCTTTGTCGAGGTGGAGGTGGTGGACGTCAATGAAAACCTGCATATGCCCTATTTCCCAGACTTTGCTGTCGTTGGATCTGTAAAAGAAAACTCACGGATTGGCACAAGTGTGCTGCAGGTGACTGCCCACGATGAGGATTCTGGTAGGGATGGAGAGATCCAGTACTCCATAAGAGATGGCAGCGGTCTTGGGAGATTCAGCATAGATGATGAGAGTGGTAAGTTTAATGTTTTGTGCTCAGTGTGTCCTTTCAACTCTTCTATTTGCCAGTGTTGGAGAAGGGATATGAATCATCACCGCAGCAGATGGGGAAGATTCTCTGTTAGAGGAGACACAACACAGAGCATGCGCATGTCTTAGAATGGCTTGGCTTCTAAGTCAATCAGTCTGCACAATGCCCAGTGAGTCTCCTATCTGTGTTGTGTTGTTTCTCCTTGCTCAGCACGGCTGTTAGGAGGTTGCATTCCAAGAAGCTTTATAGATCATTGTTGCCCCTGGTGATTGTATTACTGACCCTCACCAAATGAATGCTCCTGACTCAGTAATTACATTTGAATTAGCTTTAAATTAGAAATATGAAATTGATTTTCAAATGCATCTTATATATGAATCTTTCCCTTTATAGTAAAACTTTGCTGTAGGGAATCATTGCCTGGTCTTTCATGTTGAGCGTGTAAATCCAGCCCTTGAACAGGGGGCATTTTTACTCTCATGAGCATGGGACTTGAAAAGTATTTCTGTAAATTCTATTCATAAAAACTTGGTTATAAGACATCTTTGAATGTTAATAGTTTATTTTTATATCGTTTTCCATTATTGAAAGTGGCATTTCTTAAATCTAACATATCTTGATTATGGTTTCTTTTCCGTCCACTCCTCCTGCTCTTCCTGTCTACCTTCCCTACCATCTGGATCCATCTCCTTTCTTCCTCTCACGAGAAAACCGTGGTCTATAGGATAATAATAAAATAAGACAAAGCAAAAGCAAACACATCAGAATAGCACAAAACAAGCAAGCAGAAGGAAAAGAGACCAAGAAAATACAGATACAAGAAACAAAAATAGACAGAAAGACCACTCATTTGCACACCCAGGAATCCCATAAAAACAAAGAACTGGACGCCATAATACATATGCAAAGGATCTGTAGGATAAAAACAGAGAGAAATAAATAAATGATAAAAATAAGAGAAGGAAGGAAGGGAAGGGAGGGGAGGGGAGGGGAAGGGAAGGGAAGGGAAGGGAAGGGAAGGGAAGGGAAGGGAAGGGAAGGGAAGGGAAGGGAAGGGAAGGGAAGGGAAGGGAAGGGAAGGGAAGGGAAGAAGGAAGGAAGAAAAACAGGTTCTGAGATATCAGTATGCGACAAGGAATCTCAAAAGATGCCTTCTACTTCATTTTCTGTTGGCCATCTGCTGCTGGACATGTGGCCTACCCTTAAAAGCAACTGATTTCTGCAGTATACACCCTTGGAGGAAACTAAGTCTTAATTTTCAAGTGGTTATTAGTGGTAGATAGCTCCTGGGTTAGGAATGGGGATGCACATTCACGTCTCCTTTAGGTCTAGTACTCCATCTTTGAATGTTAATAGTTTATTTTTAGAGCATTGCAGACCCTGTGCATGCTGCCTCAGCCCCTGTGAGTCCACAGGTGCAGTAGTCCCATTGTATTTAGAAGGTCATGTTTCCTTGGTGTCCCATGTCCCCTCTGGCTCTTACATTCTTTCCACCTCTTCTTCTGAAGGATTCCCTGATCCCTAAGGGGTAGGATTTGATGGAGGCATATCATTTAGGGCTGGGTGTTCCAGAGTGTGTTACTCCTTGTATATTGTCTAGCTGTGAGTCTCTAGATTTGTTCCTATATGCTGCAGGAGGAAGCTTCCCTGATGAAGGATGACCAAGGCACTGACTGATCTTTGAGTATAGCATAAAGTCATTAGGAGTCCTTTTATTTCTATGGTCCCTTAGTAGAATAGTAGTTTTCAATTTTATCCTAGGTCCCTGGAGTATATAGTCTCTGGTTCTTGACCAGCCAAGCAATGTCAGATATGGATTCCACCTTGAAGACTGGACCTTAAGTCAAATCCAATACTGGTTGGATACTCTCACAAGCTTTATGTCATCATTGCCCTAACATATCTTGCAGGCATAACACCATTGTAAATCAAAGGGTTTGTGCCTGTGTTATTGCTTGCATTTTTCCGTTTGTAATCTGAAGAGTACCTTCTGGAACCAAGAACTAGTCTGTAGTTAGGGCAAGACTCTTTGTAAGTACCAGCTCAACTTTTCTATGTTCAATGAGCTGTGTAGGTGTTGTATTCAGCAACAGAGCCTTCCTGCAAGTTTGTGAAGAATGACCAATAGTCCTGACAGCAGCATGAGTTGTTAGAGGGTTCATATGGGATCACTTTGGCCAACAACACTATTAGATGCAACCCAATCCCAGTACTGGAACCTTTATTTGGTGACAAGAGATGTCCAGTTGGGACGCTGCCCATATTTGGTGATTTTACTTAGATTCCCTTCATAATGTAGACATTTTAGAACACGCCTATTGTATTATATTTCCATAGTAGCTCTCCACTGGCTCTTAATATTCAGTGTCTCTCCCCATATTCCCTCCCCCTCCCGACTTGCTCCTCTTTTTCTGTCCCCCTCTTGGGCTTCCATAACTATGTATTCCATCCCCCCCTTTTTACTTCCCCAGTCTCCTACCTTAAATATAATCTCTGTGACACTATGGATTACAGTCCGGTTATCATTGATTTAGCAGCTGTTTTCCACTTACATGCAGCAAATACACACCATGTTTGCCCTTTTGGGCAAACTCAGAAAAATTATTTTTCTAGTTCCATCCATTTAGCCGAGAATTTCGTTTTTGATGGTTGAGTAATATCCCTTTATGTAAACATAATACATTTTCTTTACCCATCCAGAAATTGAGGGGTATTTAGGAATAGAGCAGCAATAAATATTGTTGAACAAACATTTCTGTGACAGGATGAACCATCCTTTGAGTATAAGCCAAAGAGTGGTATAGATGGATCTTTTTTTCTTCTCTTTCTTTTTTTCTTTAAATAAGAAACAATCTTGTTTTACATGTCAATTCCAGCTCCCTCTCCCACCCCTCCTCTCCTACTCACCCCCTATCCGATCACCTTTCTGCTCAATGTCTTGTGCTACTCACCACCTTTCAGATTGGAGCAAGAATCCTGGGGATTTGCTCACAATGCATGATCCCTGGCAAGGTCCAAGATTATAAATGGGTAGATCTCAGTTGAGCTGAGAAACTTTGTGTCAATTCTCTAAGCATTCCTGCTGCAAGGGATTTGAAAGTACGGCCCTAACCCTGAGCTCTTAGGAAAGGGTCTGTCAGAGTCTGTATTTTTTCTAAGGACTATTTTTTCTCATCCCTTTAAATGACAGATGATTTAGTTCAGGTGCTAGGCACATTTTTTTTCCTAATCAAATTTTACAATCAAAATTAACCATTTACTTTTCCTCAGTGACAATCTTTTTTCTGATGGTTCCTCAACCTGTTTGTGCTTCAATAATTATGGGAGCTTGTGCCTCATAAAAGGGAGGTGCTGGGAGTAGTTGATATACTTTGTAGAGTTGTGTTCTTGACTTTTCGGTGCTCAGTGCCCAAAACCACACCTTTAAGGTTCTTTACCGTGCACTGGCATGTGGTAAATGTTCAATAATATTCACAGTAGCTGGATTAACTCTCCTCATGCTACATTGAGTCTGATCACAATTTAAGTCACTAGTGTGTGAAGTGTAATTTAATCAGTTTTTCCTTCACAAAGATTGAATTCTCACTCTTTGGCACAACAGGAATACATTTTCCTGACTACTCAGAGGTATAAAATTGTTCAAGAAGAGCACAATGTATGTTTTCAACTGTAAATGAATATTAGATTGTTTTGTAAACTACAAACTACAGGACAAATTTCACTTATTTGTTTACTTGAGGTTAATTGAAGAAATGTTTAATCAAGACAAACCAATTCTAGCTTGGGACGTCAATCAGAGATAACTGAGAAGGTTCTATATTAACCATTATTGTTATTTGTTCCTCCCACCCACTGAAACTCTATGAAGAGCCAGGCCTGGAGCAAGTTGCTTTTAAAGGCAATGAGGTGGTTTCAGAGGTGTTCCCACTCAGGATCATGTGTCCTGGTTCAGAGATTTGAAATCCATTGGAAAAGGTTCTAGATTTTACACCATTTCCCTTCCTGCCTCCACCAAGCCATCATATGCAATCCCTGCGTCTTCCTCACAAGAAGGGATACTTGGACTTAGAGCGACTCTCAAAAACTCCACGTAGAACCCTCTCATATTCTGAAAGTCAGTGAGCATCCTTAGGAAAACTCAGCACTGATTTGGGATATAGAGGGACAGTCTGGCGGTGTCTGAAAGTCAGCGTCCACCCAGATCCATGGGTCCGGATCTAATAGCCACTGGGAGCAATATGATGAGATGCATTTCATGGAAAAGAAGCTGCGAGGGCTCCACCCTCATAAATAGGATTCATAACCCCAGGATAGTAGTGCAAGGGAACTTCCTTCCCTCCTATTGTGGGAGGATACAGTTGAAGAAGCCATCTACGAGGAGCAGGCACTTGCCAGAGGAGGGGGCACTTGCCAGACATAGGGTCAATTCGCACACTGATTTTGGACTTGCCAGCTTCTAAACCTGTAAGCAGTAATTTTTGTGTTTGTCAATAAACTACACAGTGTAAGGCGTTTTGTTGTAGAAGTCCAAGTGGATGACAGCTCCTTTATTAAGGGAGAGAGAAGATGAATGAATCATTACTAAATGATGCCGCAATGATCTTATCTCACATAAACATAAATGGGAAACACTAGGCAGACACTAGTGATGTAAAAGAGATGCAGGTGTACGGTGTAGACCTTCCAAAGCGGTGGTCTTTCCAGAATGTTGCAGGGTAGCAATGTTGATGCTTCCTGAGCACTGTGTGTCTATGTGCCACATTCTTCATAAGATGCTCATATATGTAACCACACGCAGAAGTCCTATGAGCCAGGGGTCGTTTCCTCGAGGTCTTACTCATCTGATGTTGCAGGAGAAGGTCACATGCACAGTGTGTTCATCTTCATCTTTTCTTGTACTGGGTCTCTAGCAAACATTTCTCCAACTTGTCTGGACATGGAATGCTTTATTTGTTTTACTTTTTCAATTATTTTTATAGGTTCTA